GTTTCCCCATGTGTCAGACACTCGGCTGACCAAAAGTAATAACCTTCCACAAGCAGCCTAAATTGGATCCATTGGATCTGGGAGTTAATGATCCCCAGGAGTTCAGACAGCCCACTCATGATGGGTCTAATATAGTACCACAAGATTTTTGTTAAAAATTTACTTAACAGAAATATCTCTTCCAGTATCCAAACAAACGAGGTCCGACTTCATAATATTGGAAACATATTACAGGTAGTTCGAATCAAATATTATTGAAAGTCTAACAGATGCCTATTTAAATTCTACACAAGGCCTCAATCATAAATGCACAGTAGAAGTTTATTATGCTATGTCTACAACAACAACAACAAGATTCCATTTATAAAGCGCCTTTCACATCAGGAGGACGTCCCAAGGCGCTGTACAGTTGGGTCAGGACCCGAGCAGGGGGAAATGGTCAGGGTGAGGGGAGGGAAGGGAGGGAGCGAGGAGGGGGGAAATGGTCAGGGTGAGGGGAGGGAAGGGAGGGAGTGAGGAGGAGGAAGAGAGTCGAGAGGGGAGCTGAAGGCTCGGTCTAGTCTTCAGAAATCACAACCACAAAATATACACATCCATTCACTGTAATAAGTGATTAAGAGTAAGCTTACACAAATATAACTGTGCAGTAGAAAGTCTGAAATCTACACTAATGGGGAGCCCCTTGTAGTTATGAAAACAATAGTAGTTTTGGGGCCATCTCCTGAAATACATTATGTTGTTAGACCAAAATTAAATGTGTGCAACTTCTATATTTATCATTGCTGATCAATAGGGTTTCTGCTCAGATTTTAGTCTCCAGGTCAAATTCACCATTTGATCTAGAATCATTTGACACTGTTAGAGATCTCTCCCCCCACCCCGTACAGTATGAATGTAATTTTGCTACATTGGTTCTGTAAGCCTTTTTCTTATGAAACAGCACAAAACTGAAGTTGTGTATTTGATAGTTAATTGACCCACATTGACTTTCAATGGTTATATTTCTCCAGTTTCCAAACAGCAGATGTTGAAAATTATTAGATACCAACAGTTTTATTGTGCCATGGTTCAGTTGTGTTTTACCATATAAGCTACAGGGTGCAAGTAGTCTTCAGCCATTCTGAGATTGTCAGAAATGCTCCATTGTGTAAATGCACAAGAGTCTGAGTGTAATTCAGTTGAACCAACACTGGCGAACGAGGCTGGTATATGGTACTCAGCAATGTATTGGTTTGTTATATCTATCATTGCACTCTAACAAAGAATGGGTTTACATTCAAGAAAAGTGCTGTCTTGTTGGATCTATTTTACACCTGTCAGGACCACTTATTGTACCAACTCCCACTGTCAGGACAGCACTGGTTTTTAGGTGCTAGCTGAGTACTTGGTTTAATTACCATCATTGGCATTTATTACAGGCAATATGTATTGCATCCATTGGGATTAAAGCTTCTTAATCACATAAATTAATCAAATGTCTCCAAAATAACGGGGGTGATTCTGCAAGATTTCTTAATTAAGAAATCTGGATGTCCATGGCACTGGCTCATGGGATGCTGCTCCAACTCAATCTAATTTCAGAACGGCCTTCTCTCATGTCAGAGTGCTGCACTTCCAATTATTATAAGGAGTTCCCACTCAAATTTCTTAATTAAGAAATCCATGTTTTTAGGACATCTGTTAATATCAGAAAAAATTACCACATTAAAATGTTCGATACTGTGGACCACTCCATCCTTCTCCACCGCCTCTCCTCTCACCTCAACCTTCAGGGTTCTGTCCTTGAATGGTTCAGGTCTTATCTCTCACACCATCTCCAATTTGTCTCCGACAACGGTTTATCTTCCAGCCCCTCACAGTCTTGTGTGGTGTTCCTCAGGGGACTGTCCTCGGTCCCCTCCTCTTTAACCTCTACATGTTGGTGACATCATCCGCAGACATGGAGTCGACTTCCACACGTACACGGATGACACCCAACTCTATCTCTCTGCCTCCACCTTTGATTCCAGGACAACTGACGTCCTGACAGACTGTCAAGTCCTGGATGAGAGACAACTTTCTACAGCTGAATGTCAACAAGTCCAAGGCCCTCCTGATTGGCTTGCGCCAGTGCCTCCACACCACAGGCACTGGTAACATTACATCCAACGATACACACTGCCAACGCATCAAGCAAGTCAGGAAACTGGATGCCTTGTTTGACTCTCAACTGTCCTTTCTCCGTCATATCCTTGTCATGACCCGCTCTGCCTTCCTGCAACTCTGCAACATTGCCCGACTCTGCCACTGCCTCAACCCTCAGACTGCCGAAACGCCCATACATGCATTCGTCACCTCAAGACTCGACAACGGAAACTCCCTCATTGTCAGCCTTCCTAACTCTCCCCTCCACAAGCTGCAGATCATCCAAAACTCTGCAGCTTGTGTCCTCTCACGCACCAGGTTCCGTGACCCTATCACCCCCACCCTCGCCCGACTCCACTGGCTCCCAATCCCTCAGAGGTTAGAATTCAAAATCCTCGTCCTCACTTTCAAGGCCCCCCACAGCCTTGCCCCCTCCTGCCTATCTGACTTGCTGACCCCCTATTCAATAATTATATAATAATCCTTGCATTTGATACAGCGCTTTTCACATCTTCTCAACATCTCAAAGCGCTTCACAGAATAGACTGTGAAGTGAATTGACCGTATATTTGTGGTCGAAAAACCTGTCCATTCCTTCCGTTCAGCAAGCTCCGGCTTGCTCCATGTCTCCCGCCCGACCTGCCCTACCATCGGCAGCCGGGCTTTCAGCCTTTCTGCCCCCACTCTTTGGAACTTCACCCCATAATCCCTTCTCCTTGCTCCCTCCCTTGCCTCCTTCAAGGCACGACTCAAGACCCTCCTTTTCGACTGTGCCTTCAGCTACCCCCCTACTTCTCTGCCCTCCCTCATCTCAACGCTGTCCTCCCTCATCCCAACCCTGCACTCCCCACACTCGGTTCTTGATCCCCGATTGTTCAGCGTCTTGGGACGTCCTTCCAACATGAAAGGCGCTTTACAAATGTAATTTTGTTGTTGTAAACTGTCGTGCAGTTCTTGTCTGTTTTGTAAATAACAGCACAAAAATAATATAATAATCCTTGCATTTGATATAGCACTTTTCATGTCAGGGGATACCTCAAAGCACTTCACAGGATGTACTGTAAAGTGCAGTGAATTTGTGCACAGCAATGTTCCACAAACATCCTTGAAGTGAATGACCAGTTTTATCTACAATGGAAAGGAAGGACAATAAAAGTATAACCCCACCATCCAGCAAACAATGCTTGAGCTGCAGAACTTTGACATAAGTGAGACTAAGGTCAGATTGGTTTAAGGGGCTAAAACTAATAAATCCCCCAGGATGGATGAATTGTAGCCCAGGGTACTTAGGGAGACAAGGCAGGAAATTTGTTATAGCACTGACAGACATTATGAGGAAGTCAATCATCACTGGTGAAGTTCTAACAGAATGGAACAAAGCATTTATGTTACCATATTTAAGAAAGCTGACACTGGAAGCAATACAACAAAAGATTTATTAACCAGAACAACTCTTCAGACAAATATACATAAAAAAAATAACTTCATCTGGATCTGAACAAGTAATGGGAATCACTTAACTGGTTTCTGTATTACTACTGCATTACTACTGATTGATGCAATGATTCTTGCTCACATTAGTCATACTGTTCCCACACACTTGTTCCTGTGAGATGACAAAGGCACATGGATCATCGTTCTAATTTACACTGTTTTCTCAATCCCTTAATCGGACATGACCTCCACAATTTATTTATACATTCCTCTTTTGTGCATCACCACAAACAAGTTGCCACCATTTTGCTATTTGTATGCTACAATTACAATCATGATTATTAGGATAGGCAAGACTGTTTTTAACTCATCAACATATCAAAATGTTATGAGGGCATATTTAATTTTTTTTAAAAGCGAGGAAAAGTTCTGAAGGAGAAGTATTACAATATGGAAAAAAGAATCAAAAGCAAGATTTCTTTTCACTTAGGATGTTTGGAATGCTTGCAACACAGAAAAAAATACGGAGGAGAATCTACAATGCTGCTGAGTACATGGGGCAGCTCCACATGAGTACATTGACAAAGATCTTAAAGCTCTTTAAAAGGGCAGGACGCCTTCAAAATGTTTCTGTGCAACAAACCTTAGCAACAGAGAATATCCATGCATAAGTAGAAAATTTCAAATGTGGAATAATGATACATTTCCTGTATGTTTCTTACAGATTCTATCTACTTCCCAAGATCTCTTCTACCAGGATTTTATTCCATAAAATAAGGCAATGCAATACACCCTACATCAGTATCTAAGCAGTAGACACAAAATCATTCAATAATCTCTCCTAAAATGGCAACACTTCCAAACAAAACAAAATAACTTGCAAAACACTACAGATGCTGGAAATCTGAAACAAAAACAGAAGTCGCTGGGAACACTCAGCAGGTCAGGCAGCATCTACGGAGAAAGGAAAGTGAGTCGACGTTTCGGGTTCACAACCTTTTCTCAGAACTGGGGCATGTTGGGAAGGAGAGGCCTTTAAGGGCTAACAGAGATGGGAGAGGGCAAGGAAAACAAAGGAAAAAATGGGGTAGAAGACAGGGGGTGATGCGTTAAAGAGGTGTTAATGATGCAAATTTTGTATTATTAACACCTCTATTCCCCTGTTTTGTTGCAATCTCCCCTTTGTTTCGCATCATTAACACTTCTTTAACCCATCATCTCCTTCCTCTACCCCATTTTCTCCTTTGTCTTCCTTGCCCTGCCTCCACCCTCTCTGTTAGCCCTTAAAAGTCTCTCCCTCCCATGCCCCAGTTCTGACAAAGGGTCGTGGACCCAAAACGTTGACTCACTTTCCTTTTTCCATAGGTGCTGCCTGACCTGCTGAGTGTTCCCCAAATAACTTGCAAGTTGAATTTCACAAGTCCTACTGTTTAAGTCCATACCTGCTCCTGGAATGATGGCCAACCTGGTTTCAACGAGTCCCATTTTTGCTGAAGTTGCTGCAAAGTAAATAACAGGAAAACAGATGGCTTAGATAAATATTTGTTATTAAATATAGCATGCACCAAATATTTTCCTTTTCAGTTTATATTCTTTATTATTACTACTGGTTGAACAGCACAGCACTTAAGGGCTGTTATAGACTCCCTCCTTTCCTCCAATAACAGAATTGGTAAGATCCTGCCTTTCCAAGTCCAAAGATACCCATCTAATTGTAGCAATATTGTACACATTTAAATCAAGTCATTGATTTAAATGACTCTCGACTCTCTTCCCCCTCTCGACCCTCTCGACTCTCTTCCCCCTCCTCGCTCCCTCCCTTCCCTCCCCTCACCCTGACCATTTCCCCCCTCCTTGCTCCCTCTCTTCCCTCCCCTCACCCTGACCATTTCCCCCCTGCTCGGGTCATGACCCAACTGTGCAGCGCCTTGGGACGTTCTCCTGACGTGAAAGGCGCTTTATAAATGGAATCTTGTTGTTGTTGTTGTTGTTGTCAATTTGCTCAACACACCTGCAGATTATTGACCTCCAATTCACTTGGGAGATCAAAGATGGTTCCAGACCTGAACTGAATGCTCAAACTTACTTCATGTTCATGTCCCTGTTACCTTAAATCCATGTGAAAAGCACGCTGAAAAGTTAATGCAATTTAGATGATAAAAGTGCTGGCTGGCATTTCATAAGATGCATTTGACCAAATAATAATAATAATAATCCTTGCATTTGGCATAGAGCGTTATTACGTCCTCGAGACGTCTCAAAGCGCTTCACAGAATATACTGTAAAGTAAATTGACTGTATACTTTGTGGGCAAAACGTGGCAGCCAATTGCGCAGGGCAGTGTCCCACAAACAGTCGTGGATTGAGTGATCAATTTATTATTTTTTTGAAGGGATTATTACCCCCCAGAAAAGGGATACACCAATCGACTAACAACCGGGTTCCTACTTATTGCTAGGTAAACAGAGGCGTGAGGAGTAAAGAAACTTGGCCAAACTTTCGCCCTGCCGGGAATCGAACCCAGGTCTCTCACTTGCGAGGCGAGTGCTCTAATCATTGAGCTTCAGGACTCCACAAATGACCAGTTAACACAGGTTGCCTCCCCCCACCCTACCTTTCCAAACACAATGTTTTGCTTCCATCAATAAATTACTTGCAACAGTTTTGCATTAAATTTATTTAATACATGTATGATTGATAATTTCATATTTTGAAAAGTCAACAAAAGGTTCATTCACTACAGAGAAGTCACTTCCTACAGCTCACACACATCTTCAGTTAATGGAACCTTTTGTTTTAAGACAAGAAACTGCTGAGACCTGCTAAGATTACATATTTAACTTTAAATAAAATATAAAACAGGGCCAAGCACAACTTTCTGTGTTGTTTTTGCAGTGAGAAAGCATGAGTCAGCCTTGTGGTAAGTGCCTATATTTTAAATTGACCTATCAAAAGAAGGAAGACTGCAAAAGATTGATTTGAATTGTACTGTATTCTCCCCAGACTCCTATAAATAGAATGAGTAGGGATTGATGTGAGAGGTTTTTAAACTGCAGAGTGGTTCTTTACTGTCTTAAGACTGATTGAATTCTTTACGATGACACTAAAAATGCTGTTTTAATACTGAACATTAAGCAAGACTTAAAATAGCTGAAGTACATGTAAGAACTCCTTCAAAACTGCCAAATGAAATTTTTTAATCCCTAGTAGATTAAGTAGGACATTTATTCTCACCCTCTATGAATCCTTTGATTGATCAATTCGTCCCTGAGCTAAAGAGAGAGTTAGATGTACAAGAATTTGCATTTTTTTTAGAATTCTGTTTTCATGCCTTTAAAAGAAAACACCTTGAACATTTATTCTTTAAACTATTTGGGTCAAGCTATATATTTCCTCTTTTGTTTGTCATTTTGCCGTTGTGTATTCCAGATCCGTAGCTCCTTAATATATCCCTAAACCTAAAAATACCCTGACATAACATACACTCTTCCTTGCTTGTTATCACTGTATTTAGATGTCTTGCATCTCTAGTTGTTATTTATAATGTTCCTGCCTCTTGGTGACTCAGTGCTGCTTCATATTGTTGCTATCCTTAGCACAAACACTGTGCGTGGGCAGAATATGGCTGTTCAGACTAGATCTCAGATAATATCCAAAAAGAGATGGATAGAATTAACCACAAGCAGCAGCATTCATCTTGTTATCACTGGATTTTCAAATATACCTCATAGAAATTACAATATGAGGAAGCTATTGGGCCCTCTGAACCTATACTGCCACCTCATTCAACTGCTCTAAACTCAATTAACTGTTCTTTTATTGTTCATATCGTTATCCTTTTCTCTTTTAAATGTTGTCATAGTAACAGCATCATCTTTCCTTCAGAAGGTCAGTTGATCGGGGGAGGGGAAGGGAGGATGGCAAGGAAGTGAGACTTAATAATATTACACACTTTGCATATGCACAAGAACTTTCAAAGTTTTCTTTCTCTGGATGTCCGACAACCAAACAATCCCAAGCTGCGGTTTTCCCCCACACATCTCATCCTCTGTGCCCCTCCTCAAACACCCTCCATCCTCACTTCAGATGCCAAATGCAAAGAGGTCCTGGATTTCTTCGCAATGAAAACAGACAACATCTGCTTGGTTGGATGCTTCCTTTCCCTTCCCCACTGCCTTTGACCCGTGTCTTCAAGAACCCCTCTTAACTCTTCCACTGCCCCAACCACTGCTCCCTCCCTACACCCCTTTGCCCCCATTTTTATCTCATCCCTCAAAACCCTCATCAATCAGTTCCACTTGCTCCCTGAACCCCACCCCTACACAGCTGGTGACCACTGGTAGTGACCGCCATTCCTCTTCCCCCCATTTGGTGGATATAGTCACCCTGTCCCTCTCCTCTGTCTCTGTACTGTACCACTCCCCTTCAAAACTGCGGTCATCACCCCTCTCTTCAAAAAAAAACAACCTTGATCCTTTGCTAACCAAACTGCTAACTACTGGCCCATCTCTTCCATTCCAAAGTTCTGGAACTCATTACTGCCACCAGCTTCACTCACACCTTTCCTCCCACTCCCTTCAAGAGCCCCACCAGACCGGTTTCCACCTTGCTCACATCACTGAGACAGTGTTTATCACGGTTACAAAGGACACCCTCTGTGACTAGAGCTTCCTCTGCCTCATTGTTCTCCAAGGCCTCTCTGTTACTTTGACACAATGGATCATCCCACCATCCTCAACCGCTTTTCCTCCCTCATTAGCCCCAGTGAGGCTATCCTTTCCTGGTTCAAGTTCCTCTCATGGTCACTTGCGGTATACCCAAGGCTCTATTCTTGAGCCCACTCCTTTTTCTTATTTACATGCTCCCTCTTATTATTATTATTATTATTATTATTATTATTATTATTATTGGTGATATCATCCGCACAGAACTTCCACATGGGTATGGATGGTATCCAAATCTATTTTTCCTACTCCAGTTACAACCTGAGTCCATTCAATGTTCTCTCTTGTCTGACATCGAGGCCTGAATGAGCGGCAACTTTCTGCAACTGACCATGGACAAGACAGAGGCCTCAGCTCCCGTCAACATCTTCTCACCCACGGTACTGAACTCCTTAACCTACCCTGCCTATATCTCACCGAATCAGTATACAACCTTGCCATCAGATTTGATCCCCAGTCATCCTTCCCTTCCCACATCCCGTCCCTGACCAGGTCTGCCACCTCAACCTCTGCCATCGCCTGCCTTCACCCCATCTTACTTCAAACGCTGTTAATACTCTCATTCACATTTTGGTCACCTCCAGCCTTGATTTTTCAATGCGCTCCTGGCTGGTCTCCCCAGCTCCACTGTAAACAAGGTCCAAATGATTCAAAACTCTGCCACCCTTGTTCTCACCCGTCCCAAGCTCTGCATCCCCATTACCCAAGTCCTTGCCATGTTCCACTGGCTCCCTGCTGCAGAATGGATTGATTTTAAGATCCTCACTTTCACTTTAAAATCTCTTTGCAATCTGGGACCTCCCTATCTCTCCAGTCTGTTCACACCACACACTCCTCTACCTGCCGCCCACCATCAGTTAGCTCTTGTCTTTGGCATGTCCCTCCCCCCTTCCGCTCCACAATTAATGGCCATGCTTTCAGCTAATATGCCCTGAATCACTGGAACTATTTGCCTCAATTCCTCCATCTGGCCCTCTCTTTTCCCATCTTCAAATCACACCTGAAACCTTTCCCCTTCCACCATGCCTGCGGCCAATTCCCCTCCCTTTCAAGGATATGCAAGTTGTTGTTGTTGCTGCCTGAAAAACAGTAGCAAAGGCTAAGACACGTACCTGAATATCAAACAATTCCAGCTACTGTTGTTGGGTGGAGACAATTAGAAAAAAATCTGTTTGAAAGGCTTTGTTCACACGAAGCACATGAAGCAATCACACCAGTTGTGCAACAACGCCATATGTTCCACACGTGTGCTGAAGGTCAGTTTGCTCTTTTGCTTTGGCACTGACCCTTTTCTTTCTGAAACTAAAGGCAACTTTCTGCAGAGGCAAATGTAGATCCGATTCCAAAAAAGATTTTAGGTGTGTTTGGTCCCGAGAAATTTGCCTGCTTTTCATTACGATTTCCCTTTCCTTACGACTATCTGCCTGCAAGCAAACTTGTAATATAAAGGCGGTATTAGGTATTTGAGGAATCTGTATCATCAATATACAAATAAGGATACAAGGCTAGGTGAGAAAGGCAATGATGAAAAGTGCGCAAGTTTCACTATTTCCGAGTGTCTTCAAGACATCACAGAACCAGCAACTTGATGATCACAGATAAAAAATAATTTAAAAAGAATCTTCATATTTTTGAGTTGTGTCATAAGACAGATAGGTTGAAATGCCACACTTTTGTGGTGAATATTTATATACGTGGTGAGATACACCTTCTGAAAAATGTATTCCAAATTCAATGTAATGAACAAACATCTTTTTCTCAGATGCTACAATTGGTTTTATCACCCTCAGGGTAAAGCAGGCCAGTGTTTGCATTCCTGATTGCTATCCACTAACCCCTGCTGGTGGAGCACTTAAACAAACACAAATGTTGCAGGTTCTCAGGCAGGACAACAATTGGGGCGCTATAATTATCTTCAGTTTCTCACGTAAGGAGAAAAATCATCTAATCACTTTTCTCATAGCCTCTGTTGGAAAGTACATTTGTACTTGGGTGTGGAAAGTATCTTGGGTGTGGACAGGAACTGGCACTATGTGATGCTCCCAGCGGTCACGTATTTTGCACAAGATTCATTGTATTGATTCACTCATGAAAAATTATTTCTTGACCGAGATACAGGAGAATGTCCATTGAACCATACCGCAGGACGAGTTAGACATTTGCGAGAGGAATAGAGAAAACTGAAAGAATATTTTGTTTATAATAATCCTTGTATTTAATGCAGCATCTTTCATATTACAAGGATGTCTGAAAGGACGTCAAAGGAGTTATTATAAAGTGTAGCAAATGCATATTTTGTTAGGCAAACATATTTGTATTTGCTACAAAAGCAGTCACTACACTTGATAGTAATTACTTGTGAAGCACTTTAAGGTGTTGCGACATAAGGCAATTAAAAAAATGCAAGATTTTTTTCGTAGTTATAAACAGTAGTTTCAAAAGCGCAAATGCAACTAAATTTTACATAGGAAATACGTCTCTACAAACAACTGATCCAAGGATAAGGAACATGAAATACCTTTTAATCTTCAATCTCATCTCATGGCTCAGTGATTAAAACTTAACATCTGAACTTTGTGCCCTTTCATAGGAGCCATGTTTCTCATTTGTTCTTTATTAATTATTGCTTTTAGAGGCTTCTAAAGTGCGACTTTAGAGATAGTTTCTGCAGCCAACATAAGGCAGCAAGAATTCTCTGACTCAGCCATCTAAACTGTCTCAAATGCCTGTTTCTAAATGCCAATCTAACTTGCATTTTAAAAAAAACAAGAATACATCATGTTCTGCACGTAGCCAAATTACCAACAGGATAGTAGTAATCAGTTGTTCCAGTAAATATTTGTAAATGGAAAAGTTGCTCCATTTTTATGTATTTAAATGTCCAGCAGATTATATAATCAATATGGTTCAAGTTATAGGATAAACCAAAAGAGCAAAGGTTCAAGATTATCTAGTTATCTGAACTTTACGATAACAACCCTGAACTGTCTTAGACCCGACTCTGAACAATTTATAATTTATTTGCCAAAGACATCCTCAGTTTTTGCATGGATTTTTCTTCTACATATACAAGTAATGAAATAGAGGTTAGTAATTTAAAGAGGGAAGTTTTTCAGGTCACCTGTTCAATCATTTCCACTACAGAAACTTTCTGTTCAAATTTTTTTTAATTTTCCATTAATTTTACGATAAAAATATTTAATGTCAGTAACGAAACCAGAGGTTTGTATTTATTGGGTATTTTAAACTATACCCATTATATTTTCCTCAGAACATGAAATTCTAACTTTAAAAATGAACTGCGTACTTTTGGATTTCTCCACTTTCCCCATTTTCTTAGTTTATTTGGCTGACCTGCCTGAAACTTTTGAAACTTTTCTTTGCAGAACTTCAATAAGTAATGTGATGGTTAAATCAATACAATATTGTTACTGATGATTCCATGTAATTATGTTCCATTCGCTTTAAATTTAATGAACACAAAAAAACCTTAAAAACTCACAAAGTGGCCTTTAAAGTCACATTGATTTAATTATAAGATTGGTCGGCAATTGCTAACACAATACTGCGCAACAAACTGTGAGTGGACTTCATTTTCATATATAAGCAAGTGTAGCAGGTTGATGATATGAATGAGCTGTTGTACTATTTTTACTCCATTTGTGTGTAGGTGTAGGCGTAGGGGATAAAAATACTTGTTTGACTTAGCTCAGTTTTACAATAACAATAATACTTCTTTTGATATAGCACCTTATCATTTTGTCAAGACGTCTCAAAGTAAGGGGGTTTGACGATGTATTTCATGGGCAAACCACAGCAGCTAGTTTATGCACAGCAATGCCTCACAAACATCCATGGAATGAGTAACCAATTTTTATTTAGGGGATTGTTGGCCAAGACACTGAGAAAAACTCCCTTCTCTTTTCAACTCGTGCTATGGCATCCACCTTAACTGACATTAACATCTCATCCGAAGGACAGAGCCTCCAACAATGCAACGCATCCCTAGCACTGCATAAGAGTGTCAGCTTAGACTGTGAGTCCAAGTCCCTACGTGGGGCTTTAACCCACAACCTTCTGACTTAGAGGCGAGAATGTTACCACTGAGGCCGGCTGACATATAGGTTGACATAATAATCACAGGAAATGTACTTGCAAATAGCTGCCACCAACATGCAGCAAGGAACTGAATAAACTATTTTCACTTTAAAGCAATAATGTCTTTGTGTAAGAATGTTGATAAGCCTGTTATTGGAAGGTGACAGGATACAGTCATGTATTACAGGCCCACAAATGTACAGCATTGCCCGATATCCATACTAATTGCAACAACCAAATTGTGAATATGGAAACAGTGCCCTCCAAAATCAATCCCCCCCCTCCCCCAATTCTGCTTCAACCCAATACAAGTAGCAACAAAGTGATTAGGTCTATGGAGTATTTGTCTATTATGTTCCCTATAATCTGCCAAACTATTCTCAAATAGACACTTGTTTGGTTTTTATTTTTGAAGAGGTAATCAATGCAGCATCAACTCTTTCTGTTCAGGATCTATTTGACATTATTTGTTGGCCACATTCACTTCAAAATATACAATTGCTACTCTTTGCTGTAAATCCTATGAAGTGCTTTGAAATGTCCCCTGAAGTGAAAGAGGCAATATCAAATGCAAAGATTATTATTGTCAACTGTTCTGTAGAAAGGAAACTTATAGGAATCATCTTCATCTTCTCCAAATCTTTTGCAATATTTCAATGTCCTTTTAAAGATGAAATATCAGTAGACATTTACTTTGCACTTCAAAGAGCACAGAATTCCAAACAAGCTTAAGTAATTGAGTTCTTTCTTACCAGCCACACGGATGTCACAGGCGAGAGCCATTTCTAGACCTCCTCCTAAGGCAGCGCCATCAAGCACAGCAATTGTGGGCATCGGAAGGTGACCTGTTAGACAAGAATAAATGTCACATAAAACATTTGTATTTGAAATTTAAATATAAATTTCCTCTTTTGTATTGCACAATATTCCTCGACTTATATTGAGTTGACTTTCAATATCTTGACAAAATATTTCAAAACTACTTATTCCTTACACTGCCAGAGATCTATGATGCGTTCTGTACATTTTCACCCCACTCTAGTTACTGTACAATTTCAACTCGCACTGTAATTCTGATACAATATTGATGCTATTGTAATAAAGTTACTCAAACACCAGGAAAGTTTATCAGTGGCAGAGCCTGATGCTGAGCTGGGAGGAGGTGGGGGCCTAAATGAAATGAGTATGGTTAAAGAGGAAGATCTTCAGGCATGATCTGAAAATGGGTAAGGAGAAGGCAAGGTGGAGTGAAACAGTTCCAAAGTTTCAGGGCATAATAATAACAATCCTTGCATTTGATATAGTGTCTCATCACATCTTCGAGACGTGTCAAAGCGCTTACCAGAATATATTATTATTTAAATATAATATTATTTAACAGTATTTAGTATGAAGTTATTTAATAGTATATTGAATATAATATTATATTAAATATAATATTAAATAGCTGATAAATAACCTCTGTGGAAAGAAATACTATCAGGTATCAGTTCTGAACTTGCCCTTGACAACCCTGAACCCGTAATTAAAACCGTTCCGAGGAAAGGGCTGTTGTTAGTTCATTAAATTTGAAGCAATGGGTGGTTAATCACAAATAATGTTGAAATGTGTGGGCATCAGTATTTTGGAAAATATCTAACATTGCAACAAATTTGGAGTCCTGTAGCTCAGTGGTTAGAGCACTCGCTTTGCAAGTGAGAGACCTGAGTTCAATTCCAGGCAGAGGGCGAAACCTTGGGCAAGTTTCCTTACTCCACACAGAGCCTAATAATAATCCCTCCAAAACCGAAAACAATAATAAATTGGTCATTTTCAATCTACGACTGTTTGTGGGACATTGCCGTGCGCAATTGGCTGCCGCGTTCGCCCACAAATATACAGTCAATTCACTTTACAGTGTGTTCTGTGAAGCGCTTTGGGACATCCTCCCGATGTGAAAAACGCTATATCAAATGCAAAGATTATTATTATTATTAAATTAAAATTATTATTAAATAAATAAATAATTTAATGGCTGAAAGCATGGCGGCCGATGGTGAAGTAGAGGGGATGAGGGACAGATTATAGATTATTTTATCAGCAGATATCCATTTTGGTCTATGGATAAGTTCATCTCTATGCAAAAGACTAACTTAAATTGTTTTAGGGAACAGAAGCCAATTGTTCACTTTACAACAACAACTTGCATTTATATAATGCCCTTCACGTAGGATAGCATGTTGGAACGCTTTATTGAGGGCCTCAATAAAGATCAGTGAGTATTTTGTTAAAACAGGTCAATTGTTCCACAGTTGTTGCAATGTTAAACATTACATTAAACTGCTGCCCACACATTTCAACATTATTTGTGATTTACCACCCATTGCTTCAAATTTAATGAACTAACAGCAAGTTTTAATTACGGGTTCAAGGTTGTCAAGGGCAAGTTCAGAACAAACACCTGATAGTATTTTTTTCCACAGAGGTTATTTAACAGGTGGAGCAGGCTGCCAGGAAGTTTGGATGACGCCAGTGCAATATATTCATGAAAGGCTGCACTAATACTGCACAAACAACGTAAGTTGCTGCAACTTAGGCTGTGATTTGACCTCAAATGTTCAGCATTAACTGTGACTTGTAACAGTGTTTAAATGCTCCGAGGCACTGCCCTGCATGAAAGGCGCTATATAAATGCAAGTTGTTGTTATTGTTGACTCAGGCAGTACAATTTACTCAAGCCCCACTCCTTCTATCACCTGGAGGAGGTTTCAATACAAAGATACTGGAAGCAAATCATGATGGGCTCACTCCCCTGTGGTTTACTCAAAGCTCAACAGCCGGCAACTTTGAACTCCCAGGTTTTTGATTTTGTTATAGACCCAACTGTGTGACCATGCCGTTGATAACATGAGAAAACAAACACCTGATTTTGATGTTCCTCCAGGGAGCAGAAACTTCAGAAACTGTGTGTTTTGTTTTATTTCGGCTCAGTTCACATCAATAATAGCACAGGAAGTATAAATTGGGATTCCCAAACCACATTGTTGTACTACTGAGAGCAAAGCAGATATAGATGTATAAATGCAGCATGGAAAAACTGCATCACACTATGATTGGAAGCGGGTACCGTTGCTCATGTGATCTTTTGATCCCCTCCTGCAGCACCTTATAATATAAATTTCAAGTCTTTTATGGTTGAATAAATTTCAAATTTCATGTCATTAAATTTAAGTTTTGTTAAAAAGATCATAAAACCCGAAATGGATTCAATAATGGACATTGCAGGAAATATTGTCAATTGCAATATTCAATTTTGTGTTGGGTAAACACACCTAGATCTCTAATAGTATAAATACTGTACTAGAATCTGTGCCATGGTGGCATCAGATCTCTTAAGTAAATATAATAATAAATAATAATCCTTGCATTTGATATAGCGCTTTTCACGTCTTCTCGACGTCTCAAAGCACTTCACAGAATAGACTGCAAAGTGAATTGACCGTATATTTGTGGGCGAAACACGGCAGCCAATTGTGCACAGCAGTGTCCCACAAACAGTCGTGGATTGAAAATGACCAATTTATTTTTTTTGTTTGTTTTTGAGGGATTATTATTAGGCGTATGGAGTAATGAAACTTCCCCAAGGTTTCGCCCTGCCTGGAATTGAACCCAGGTGTCTCGCTTGCAAGGCAAGTGCTCTAACCACTGAGCTACAGGACTGACTCCTGTATAAATCATGCTTTTAGGGGGCATTTTCCTCAATGTAAAGCAACAAGTTTAAATCTTTTAAAAAATTCTATATGGAGGCCAAAACCAGGAAGGATTGTGTAATCTCTGTTGGAAGTGCACACACTCTTGGCTGAAGGAATCTTGAATACTGACTGTCAGGGTCACACACAGGTTCAGTTAAGTGAGGTATTGGAGGGCATCTGGCACCTATGGAACCGCACCCCAGAAGAAGATAAAAGGAGTTAAATGCCTCAGGAGAAGAACTTAGGGAAGAAAATCGGCAAAAAAAACTAAAATTATCCATTAAAAACAATCAATAAAGCTAGGGCATGAGGGATTACTGCAGCTATCTTAGAAATTTCCTGCTAAGGCAGTTTCCTTTATCTGCTGCCAATTAGTTCTAAATGACTGTAGGTCATCAGCTTTTAATTTCATTTGTCAGCATTCAAACCACTGAATACTTTGGAATAGTTGTTCTGCTTATCACTTTATCTTAAGGTGTACCAGAGAATATAAACCTAACCACAGAAAATTTATGCAAATAGAAAATTTTGGTGCTCACATTGCATCCAACTGCTCATCAACTGCTCCCAGATTTATTCTGCTTTGTGCAATTCTTTGGGCTTTCTTTTATCGGCAGTGGGAGAAATTTTGTTATGGGCTGTAAGCCATCAATTCAGCAAAATCTAGTTTCATTCAGCAGAGACAAACTGTATGCTTACAATATAACCAATTAATGCCTCATACATGCCTTGATTATAACCAGGCTCAACTATGCCAACGCCCTACTTGTTGGCCTCCACAACTTTTCCCTCCACAAGCTGCAGATCATCCAGAACTCTGCAGTTCATGTCATCTGCCGCACTAGGCCCTGTGACCGCATCACACCCACCCTCAGCCGGCTCCACTGGCTCCCCATTCTCTCAGGGGACTGAGTTACATAAAAACATAAGAAACAGAAGCAGTAGGCCATTCGGCCACTCGAGCCTGCCCCGCCATTTAATAAGATCATGACTGATCTTCTAACCTAATTCTATTTATCCGACCTATCCCCATATCCCTTAATCCCTTTAGTTTTTAAAAATCTATTGATCTCAGACTGTGTCACACTATGATTGGAGTTCAAAATTCTCATCCTAACCTTCAAGGCCCTCCATGGCTTTGCGCCTTCCTACTTCTTCGACCTGCTAACCCCTTATAAAGCTATCCGTTCCCTCCATGTCCCCGCCCATCCCGCCCCACCCGGGATCGGGCCTTCAGCCTCTCTGACCTCACCCTCTGGAACTCCATCCCACATTCCCTTCGCCCCACTCCCTCTTTTGCCTCCTTCATGGCACGCCTCAAGACCCTCCTCTTAAACCATGCCTTTGGCCACCCTCCTAACCCCACCCGCCCCGCCCTCCACCCTCGCTGATCTCAATCCTCCCCACCCACTTGGGTACTAATCCCTGACTGTTCAGCACCTTGGGATGTCCTCCTGACATGAAAGACGCTTTACAAATGTAATTTTGTATTGTATTGTAATAGAAATTAATACACATTTCACATCTTGTAGAATGCACATTCATGTTATGATGGAATTCTGCATATTTATGCCTGATGTTTCTTTGATCACTATATCTACATGCAGACTGCACCATGTTTGTCGCCACTCTGTCAGCTGCCAGTTAAACTGAGGACGGTCTTTCACAACCAGAATACCATAGCTATGTCAGTACACAAACAGATCATTCGACCCTTCATTCATGTTTGATGCTACGTCCTTATTTGAGCTGCTCTTTCCTTGTACACCTATTATTTTTATTCCATGAGCGCTAGATGCCCTCCACTACCTCACTCAACTGACTTGTGTGCGTGATCCTCGCCAGCGAGGGAGAAGGGAAACATTATAGTCAAGGCTAGTCCTGCCCTAATCTGAGGTCCATGCATAGGGATGTTCCAAATAGAAGTCAGGAAGGGTGTAAATCCCCCCCCCTCCCCCAACACACACACACACACTTACACACACCCTTTTCAGTTGTTCCACCCAAAAGCTAGACATGCCATGCATTTAGCATTTAGCAGGATACCGTCTTATCTCCTTTTTTTAATTAAGCCAATATCCGACTAATGATGAGCTCAATTCCACAACATGCAC